AAGCACAACCGCATGCTGTTAACGCATGTACAAACGCGCAAAAACGGTGCCACCTAGGTGTGAACCAGGGCTCAATTTTTGTTCCTCACTATGGTCGAAAATGATTTGATCACAATAACATAAAAACAAGAAAAATCAAAACAAATATTCCAAAAATGAATTTTTCAAACAAAAAAATTCTACTGGTGTATGGCCAGCTTTACTAACGCCCTTGAAGGTATTTTTTTTGAATGGAGGATACATTAAAACGTACGCTAGACACCATTTCCCTCGTCACGGTTCCCCAGCAACAAGGCTTTATGGCCATACATGAGTTAGTAAACAAGCAATAACACTGAAACACCGAAAAAGAAAGACTTGCTTTTTATGTTATTCGAGCGCATTGATGTGTAGTAACCGCATTATCTGCATAACCTAAAACACAGGTCGCTGCGACCTCGGGCAAAGGTGCCAACACCACACAGCTGGTGACTCACTGCCTGACGACCAGAAACATTAATACTTTGAGGAAGTAACATTTAACAAGTGAGAGATTAGCGAATGTGCCGAAAACGACGCGTTTCATGCCATCTGACCAGGTTCCTGTATTTCTACAGCTGCTCATCCTAAAATATACTTCCATGAGTTCATACATTACGGCGCATTGCAACACTAAGAGCGCATGCTGTAGTTCCGCTTTACTTGACTGGACGGAGAGGTAGAAACCAAGAGAACGCCATTGTTTGATATTGCATACGCAAATACTAGATAAAAGACCAGGGCTAGACAAATCTCAGGAGACAGGTCGCCAATGCTCCCTAAAAAACAAATTAGAGCTGGTGCCCAACTTTTGAGGTTTAAGTAGTCAAGTATGTCACCAGCACAACACGAGTGTTCTGGACCGTTTTTGATTGGTTATTGAATTTGTGTTGTGTATTGATCTCACAATAGATCGAACACTTTGTCATGCCTGATGAAGGGACCCTGAGTGGCCCCGAAACGTTGCAATGTGACAAGGGGTGGGTGCACCAATAAAATGATCACTTCTTGAAGATTTAACCACGGTGTGTTGGTGACATACTTTAGTACTTGAATCAGAAGAGGCGCCTTCCGCAGTCACTACAGCACCCACCGCAAGGGACGTACCAGTAAGGATGGTGGTAGGGCTGGGTAGGACTCTCCTGCATTGCAACTTTTGAGGTTTCCTCCAGTTGTTCTCAATGGAGGTGGCTCCTAAAAAAATCCTGTTGGCTCCTGGATTGGCCAGACTAGGTCCTGAATTCCATATTCATTTGTCAAACCTGATATAGATAGACTGACCATCAATGTTTGCCATCAGTGAATTTGATGGAACTTTATTTGTCATAACTCTATCTGGCCATACATTGGTAGAGTCTCACAAGAGAAATATCACCAGAACATTCGATAAAGCCATCAGAGACGATGAACGTCCATAGCTCTGTCAGCTTTTTTTTTACCATCTGGCCTATTGGGGAGTTCACCTGTCACTTCCTGTCCAATAGATACAATAAAAAGTGAGGAGAGGAAATCCTTCCAAAGTGAGAAAAACCCCTGGCGCTCATCAGGGTCACCAGAACTAGTGTCCCCATTGGAAGATTTCCCATCTATTCCTGTTCTGAGGACAATCAAAAATGTGTCATTTTCTTTCCCCTTCAGGCTTAGTGGTTGGCACTTCTGCCTTAGAGCACTGGGGTCCCTGGTTCAAATCACAGTCAGGTCACTATCTACAAGAAGTTTGCATGTTCTCCCTGAGCTTGTGTGGGTTTCCTCCCACACTCCAAACTGGCCCTAGTATGTAGTGCGTGTCCAAACTGGCCCTAGTATGTAGTGCGTGTCCAAACTGGCCCGTACCTACAAGGAACTTAGATTGTAAGCTCCTTGAGGGTAAGGATTCAATTTTGGAATTCATGGTTAAAATTTTCCTTGAATGAATGAAATTCTTCCCATTTCTCCATTTTTTTCATCATTACAGCCCAAAACAAATAAATCCAATTGACTATTAGAAAATCAAACAAAATGTTCCAAAAATGAATGTTTTCTAACCACGTCTAACCAACGTAACTGAAAAGAGACCCCGCACTACAAACACGCAGACATGACAGAACATTTGTAGACTGTCACTCGGGAGTACAATGAATTTCGGATACTCCATGTGTCTGTCTAACATTTCGATTTGTTCTTCTCCTCATTAGTTGTGTTTATTGTTTGAAAGGAAAATGGTTTTAATTGTTCTAAAATCTATTAAAAAGGGACAATATAAAATTGTTATAATTATTTTATAGCGACATTGTAAAATCTAGATTAACGAGTCCTGGAGGCAAAAACCGCACAGGGAAAAATGACTATTTCTTCCAAGGGCGTAATATGAAATCATATTACATACAGCTGTTAGTCACAGTTCCAATACGACTTCACAGACAGCGAGGATCATTATTTACTAAAGGGCGGGGGAGACAAATTATCATGGAATTCAGAAGCCACCCAGTCAAATCCAGGAGCCTGAAGGACTAGTTTTAGTAGCCAACTCCATTGACAGCAACTAGAGGGAATGTCAAAAGGCTTCCTCTCTGTGCCTGCTGCAACTATTAGGCTCCGTTCACACCTAGGCGTTTTAGGTCTCAAAGCTAAGCGTGCCCAAACACTCAAGACAAGGAATCCCATTGATTTCTATGGCCCCTGTTCACACTAGAGCGTTTTGTCGCACAGAGTTTCCCACTGAAGTCTATGGGACCAAAAAAAGTGCTGTCATTTGCCAAAAAAAAAGCTCTTGTACTTTTTCCAGCCACAGGCATTTTCCTGCTTGTGACAAAACACTCAGGTGTGAACAGGGGCCATAGAAATGAGTGCAATTCCTTTTCTTGAGTTTTTTGTCGTGCTTACCTTTGAGCAATGAAATGCCCAGGTGTGAACGGGGACTTAAGGGCCATCGGCGACCTGGCTCCAGGGATTTGTCCAGCCCTGTACTAAAGCAGAGGTGGACAAATCCACATAGAATTCAAGAGCCAGTATATCCAATTCAGGAGCCCAAGATCCATTGACAACTAGAGTAAACCTCAAAAGATAGCAACCAAGTGCAATTTAAGGAGCATTGGCAACCTGCTCCTGGGACTTCTCCAGCCCTGTACTAAAGGAATTAAATGTTATCTTTGTAGGAGTCAATGTTAACTGATCTTAAAGTGACATTAAACTCAGGAATTTAAATCTTAAAAATACATTGGGTACTTTAATGTTTTTTTAAGATTTAACTCCTGAGTTCAGTCACTTTAAGGAGCATCGGCGACCTGGCTCCAGGGATTTGTCCAGCCCTGCACTAAAGCAGAGGTGTACAAAATGAGTTAAATCTTTAAGCACAGGTACTCTGTGGGGGTCACATTGAATTATTCTCCCTGCGCCCCATTCACATCAAAACACTGCTGTCATGTGCAGTGCGTTTTGGTGCAGAAATACACATCAGGTCAACATTTTTCTCCAACACATAAACACAAATAAATAAGCATAAACTCAACTGAAAGGATAAAAATAATATATATATATATATATAGCCAATATTTTTTTCAACCCACAACAAATGAAAACAGCAAGTGAAGACACAACATGTAGGATAAAAATAACTGAAAAACCGCACATCAACATGCATAAAAATGGATGTAAAAGCTATGCACATCAACTCTGTCCCCGCCATTAGTTTTCTATGCTGTACGGTGTGAACGAGCTCTGCAAAGTCACATCATAGTCAGCCTTGGAGCCTTCGGAAACCACGCATCCTAGCGTGTCCCTAGGGTGCAATACACCCACATGGTGCACTCCACCACCACATAAAGCCACATTTGGGGGGTTTCTCAACAGCTGGAAAAGCAATTCCTTGACATGCATTGTGGAGGAGACCAACGTGTGAGTCATTTACATAGAAAACACTTAGACCAAGGCTGAATGTTCTGGTTGCCAGTGCGCCTTAAAATTTACAGATGGCGCCCAACTTTTGAGCTCGTCAATAAAGCAAAAAAAAAAAAAAGTCCTGCTGGCTCCCGATTGGACAGACCGGTTCCTGAACTCCATATTCATCTATCGGGCCCCTGTTTAGACTCTGAATCTATGCAAATACCAACAGAAACCAACCAACATCCATGGAAGGATAAGCGTGAATGATCACCGTGGTTTGCCGTACTCTACCTATCCAGATAAACTCAAAGCAAAGCTACAGGTCAATGGGGGGCGCCAGGAATTAATTCCCCGGAGGGAAGGACACCAGGCGTCCTCAACAAATCTAAAGCCACCGCTCATCACCCAGGAAATCAGGAGCGCTTCGTTTCCAAAAGCTGTCACTCTTGCAAACACAAAGTAACATTGGAAGCCGCCCGGCATTCCTTTAAATCACGAAGCACCCTCCCCCCACCCGCCCAAGCAAGAAAGAAGTGTAGCATGAGCCACCATGGATGGGAAGCCCATAATTATGAGCTCTCCCAGTTCTGTCTAGCCAGGAAAGGCACAGGGACACAAAGATCTGCCTGAGCTGATGTGAGATTGCTGTAATGTTTGCATTACTGGTATGATCACAATGCATTTCCTGATTGCCTAAGGGAGGGAGAGGACATGGGAGCCTGGCTCAATAATGTAGTGGGGTTCCCCATGCTGGTGTATTGCACCCAAGGGACAGCACAGTGATATGACTCATAATTAAACAAAAAGGCACACCCTGTGGGCAGAGCAGGGATACA